CAGGCACACGGTTCCTGCTCAGATGTGGAGAGAAGCTCAGGGGAAGAAAGGCGACTGGTACGAGTCCAAGTTTAGCTCCTCCCACCCCGTTATCCTCTATCTCCACGGAAACGCAGGGACCAGGTGAACCCCCCGTCGCGGCCCTACCAGCGGGCACACACGCACACCTTTGTCACTGATTTAAATGTTTGACCTTTGACCTCTGTCTCTCTACAGAGGAGGAGACCACAGAGTGCAGCTGTACAAGGTGAACACTCCAGAAACCACAGAACTCATCGGGAACTCCTCGACCTCTGACCCTGATCTGACCCTGACCCTTTAAAGGGTCTGGGTCAGATCAGGGTCACGTTTTCTGAGACACACGCATGTTTGGGGGCGTGGTTTAATCAGCTGAGAGTTTGTGGACTTCCTGTTTGTCACTGTTTTCTGTTGGCGTCTGTGAAACGCTCTCCAGCTGTCGATCTCTTTGATCTTATTGGCTGTGGACGGAGGCATGCTGTACTGACTGTGTCTGCCTGTTTTCCTTCAGGTCCTCAGCTCGTTAGGCTACCACGTGGTCACGTTTGATTACAGAGGTGAGAAACACGCCGAGTACAGCAGGCGGACAAACACAGCTGGCACACCTGTGTGACCCGTGTGTGTGTGTGTGTGTGTGCACAGGTTGGGGCGATTCAGAAGGCTCGCCATCAGAGAGCGGGATGACATCAGACGCTCTCTTCATTTATGATTGGCTGAAGCGGCGGACAGACAAAACGCTGCCTCTTTACATCTGGGGACACTCTCTGGGAACAGGGTAACAACACACCTGTGCACTCACACACTTACTGCCCGCCCCTTTAAAGGTGACTCACTAATAGGGTGGCAGTGCTGTAAGACCCGCCCACACGAGAACAGGAAAGGAGAAAAGGTCACGGCTCAGGGTGTGGGTGGATGATGGATGGGTGGTGTCTTAGTGAGGCTTTGAGTCATTCCTGCCACACCTTTCCAGCTTTACTCACGACTTCCGAAAGCCTTTTCCCAACAGTCAGGCATCGAAAGTGGAAATTAGCTCTAAAGTTTTATAGTGTGGGGGGGGGGGGTCAGTGCTGCCCCTGCAGGACGTTAGAGGAACTGCAAGCTTCAGTCTCAGAGGTCGATCAGCAGCAACGAGGCTGATCCAAGGATTTAATCTGAGTTTCTTTTCTTTCAGAGTGGCAACCAATGTGGTGAGACGGCTGTGTGACAGAGGTACACACACACACACACACACAGA